CCCCCCCCGGCCCTGCCGATCCGGGAGGATGTGGGTTCTCGGCATCGCAGCAACTTTTTGCGGATTGTTCTGGCTTCCAGGTAAGAAGATGAAGAGGCCAGCAGCCTGGCCAAACACGCTCATGCCATCTGGCCGCGCGTTCCTGCTCTACCCTCAGTGCGCCCAGCTGGGGTCCGCGCTGCGCTGAGGCTACCCAGCGGGAGTTTGGTGCTGGAAACTGAGACCCAGAGGCGCCAGACTGGGACGCTCTCCAAGTCCCGCGCTGCAGGAGAGCGGCAGATTGGCGCGAGTCTAGGCTGCAGCTGCTTGGGGTACACAGTCGGGGATGCAAAACTGGGAGTGGGGAGGGTCTTTGGGCCGGGAAAGGGGGAAAGGGGCGACAAACCTCCAGCCTACTCAAGTTACAAGTGCTTATGGCCACCCAAGGGAACAGCGAAGCGGACAGGTGAGCAACACACCGGACAACCTGCGGCTGGGGGCGGGGGACGACTGAGTTATCTGTGCTTTGCGTATGATCCGTGAGGTGCTAGGAAGGGGACACACTGTGAGCGCTGGGCATGGAGTCCAAAGAGAAGCTCCCAGATCCGAGGAGAGCAACCGGGAAGATCTGGAAAGGCTGGACATAGTCCCTGATCATGGAGTCTAAGCTATCAGAGTTTGTTTGGGGGCCCCTATCCCCCAACAGCCATGTCCCCCCCCCCCCCCCCCCCCTTTTTTTTTTTTTTTTTTTTTTTTTTTAGCGAGGAGGGTGTGGGAGAGGCCCGGTCTAAAGGTGCTGTAGTGAAGCGGTCCCGGGGAGGGCGCACACAAACATACAACACACCACGTACTCTTCCACCATCAGCAGCTGCCTCCCTCACTGATCACAAGAAGGGACGCTGAACCAGCTGGAGGACTTGAGGCTCTCAGACACTTGGCATCTATCGCCTCCTCCCAGGTTGCAGGGTGGTCGCTAGGAAGCCTCAGAGCCCCAGAGTATGAATGCTGACTTCCAAGATTAAATAAATAAAACTGAAAAGGCGCCATTGAATGTAATTATGAATGGTGCCAAAATAGTAATTAACCAATTTGTAACCAATTAGCAATTAGACTCAGACAAGAGATGAAGCTTGTACCCAGCTACTTTGATCTAGGGTTCAAACTCTCACCCTTGCCTTTGCAACGACTTGCAGAAAGGCCTGAGGGGGTGTTACCGGAGCCGTTTGTGTGTATAGGAGGAATTTAGGGTCTCTGACAGGGCTTTATCCTTTTAGATCCTGGGAATTGGTGCCGCTGCCCCCTGCCGGCTTCAGGCACTGCCAGCCCTACTGAAGATCCCGATGCAGAGGCCAAAAGCTCTTGTGTGGGGCTGTCCACGGTGATACTCTCCAGCCAGGGTGTGCTCTATGCAAGCCAGATCCTAACTAGAGCTTCTGAACCCCACTTCATCTGTCCCGCAGGGCTAGCGCTGCAAATTCAGTGCTACCAGTGTGAAGAATTCCAGCTGAACAACGACTGCTCGTCCCCTGAGTTCATCGTAAATTGTACCGTGAATGTTCAAGACATGTGTCAGAAAGAAGTGATGGAGCAAAGTGCGGGTAAGCTGGGCCACTGTTCCCCTTCCAACCGCGGTCTAGGGCTGGAGATGCAGGGTGTTAAATTACAGCAAAAGACACTGACTGATTTAACATACATGCTTGCATGAATCGAACAAAATTTAAAATATTAAGACACACATAAAGAAAGAGAGAGAGAGAGAGAGAGAGAGAGAGAGAGAGAGAGAGAGAGAGAGAGACTTTTTTTTACAGTTCCAGGAAAACGAAGAGTTGGAAGTTACTTTAACCTCATTAGAGTTAATTACCAGGGCTTCTTCTACCCAAGGGATTCTGGAGGGGGGAGGGACAGTCATTGTAAATCAGCATGCTTTCATTCTTCTTTTAACCCCCCTTTACTCCTTTCACCTTCCTGGACTAAAAAACTGATCAGGGTGGTGAAAAAAAAATATATATGGATAACTGGTCCCAGCTCGAGCAGCTAGACAGTAGCCTGTGAGCGATGTCAGCCTGAAATATGAAGCTACTTGAAGTTCCCAGAGGTCAGAACTTGAAAAATGTGTTTTGTCATAGCGCCACACCATATTTCTTTGAAGAACACTATAGGATCTTTATTTAATTTTAGAACTAATGCATCAAATTCCAGGCACAAATTGCCAAGATCTTTCACAGGAAGGATTACAACCCCGCCCCCCACTGCCAATGCCCCCAGCAGCCTAGCTAGCTATTGGCTATCTGAGCAAAAAGGCCTGGATGTTATGCGTTATGCAGCTGAAGAAGGGAATTAGTTGGAACAGACTTCACTCTAGCTAATAAGTCTTTTGAGAGGTAGAATCCCACCCACCCTAGAGTTAGAATTAAAAACTCACGTTAAAATGGAACCAGAGCTTGTAGAAAATAAATGAAGCTACCACTTTGATTCCAAGGTCAAGTTGAAACTTCACTGTTGAAAGGCTGCTGAAAGGAAGGGAAGTGCCATGTTGGGATGATTGGCATTGAGTGAGCCTTGTTCCTTTTTAGTCCAACAAGATGCGCACAGAGCTCCTGGGGTGATTAGAACAATTGATTCACCTAACTCTCTGGCAAAACAATGCAGGGAGGCTAGCATTGAAGACTGCACCTTGGCAAAGCAGTTTCCTCAGGGGTAGGGTTTGAAGGTATCTTGTTGGTTGCTTAGGGAGCATATCTGCCAGCTCTCCATCACACTGGGCTATGATGTGAGGGTGTGTGTGTGTGTGTGTGTGTGTGTGTGTGTGTGTGTGTGTGTTTGATGTTTTTGCTTGTGTATGTGTGTGTGGTAATCATGTATGTGTGCATACACATTCACAGTTGTTGGCACATGAGAATATGTAGTTACATACACTTTTTTGGCATGTCATGTGTATGTGGTATTCACACCTGTATAGATACATATTCACCTGTGTGGGTGCAAGAGCTTGATATCCTCGTCTTCCTCATGCTCCATCTTATATATTGAGGCAAGAGTCTTTTACTTGAACGCAGAGTTCACCAATTCTAGCAAAACTACTTGTTCCAAAGGTCCCAATCTCTGTCTCCAAGAGCTGGGGTTACAAGCAGGCATCTCAGTTGCCCTGCTGACATTTACATATGTGCTTGGGATCTGTACTCTAGTCTCTGCTGAGCCATGTCCCTTTGTGTATGGCTGCATAGGCTGTTCTTTGTAATGAATTATTGGCTTGAGTGTGGGTCCTTTGTACTAAAATTGCTCTTGTGGGAAGTCTAAGATACAACCACTTTCAAGAATAATGTACTCCCTACTCCCCAAAAAACAAGTGTTATTTTAGTATCTGGTATTCCTGCTATTAAAAACAGTAGGACAACACAAAAATTAATGATTCTGCAGCTAAGATAGATGTGAATTATTTTTATGGGTGATTTTCTTTGCACCGTGTTTTACCTGAGCCAAACGTTTTTTGCTCTTCATGTATCTGAAGCCCTCTTCCATGAAATAGGTT